TATATATATATATTGGAGTTGGCCATCATGGAGATACAAAATACTTTTGCGAAAATGAATTAATACATAATTATGTCGACGAAATTGTTGCACTAATTATTGACATATTAATAGATTTTAATTAATTGGTCTATATTTCGTGCAGCAATGTCTTCGATAGAAATATGTATTATATTTCTGCCAGAGTCAAAAGTATTTTGCATTATGTATCTCTAAGTATGTAACATATATATATATCATAAATAATAGTGATATATAAAATAAAAAATAAATATGGAGATTAGTTTTTAAGTTTTGGTTTTTGCTTCATTGGTTCCGGCGCTGAATCGCATTCCAAATATATGTATATATTGGGTTTAATTATTGATTTTCGTTAGTCCAATGAATTGATCTATGCGAAGCTCTTATATCCTGTCACTTTTTTTCAAAATTTAGTTCTGTACATTTGCAGTTACTGTCACACCGTAGAGAAAAGGTAGTAAGTCTTTATCATCTAAAAACCGAATCAGCGCTACAGAAATAGTGCTCCTTTGCGGTTTAAATATGTTTTTTGATATCTTGGAAAGCTAAACTTAGCTGCAACCATGTGATTCTTACATTTGCTTCAATAATAACGATGTGGATTCTTATAAATAGTTAAATTCGTTATTCTGAAAATATGGAATAATTTTGTCACGCAGGACGTGAATATGATCTGTGTTTTGGTCAACTTCTAACTACATAAGGAAAGACTTTTGATTTTCAGCTCTCTTTGTGAATGATGTTGAAACTTACATTTCGAGATTTCTTCTAAGTAAAGTCTAGATCCATGACTTTATCATCTGAGATGCATGTTCCCCTTCAAGTCTTGTAACTATTAACACCTAATAGTCTGTTGTGCTAAGCTTGAGATGTAGTTTGTAGCTGTAATGGTGCTATTATCGAAAAATAAATATTTTGATTTTATTGGTCACTTACTGGCTTAACAGTAATTGAGACAGTTGTTGATCACCAGTTTTCAGATTCGGTCGAGTACAGAAAGTGGAACGCTTGGGTACTACTGGTTTTGTGGTCAGTTTTATGGATGTTCGATCGGCACAGAAGGCCTACTCAGCAGATCCGAAATTCCAAGGTCATCAGTTGCGGATTGCATTTCACGATCAGAGCAAGAAGTGAGCAGTATACTATTCTTCACCTATAATTCGGGCATTGCTTGAAATTTGCTGCTGTTAGGAACAAACATTGATTCTATTATTTCTGTTTGGATATCAAATTTTCTGCTCCCTTAAATACTCTTCTAGCTTTTTAAAGCTAAGTTTCTTCTGATTTAATATCCTTTCATTATATACAGTGCTGTTTCTATGGATTCACTGTAGTTTCATGGCTAAGTTCCTTTGTACATGTATTTACCTCCTCATTTCTCTCTGTCCTGTTCTTACAACTATGGAACTTTGCTCAGTCGCGACCTCAGATCATAGAGTACTTCGTTACTCACGTTTGCATTTGGATGGTATCATGCTTAAGCATTTACATTACTGTTAGTTCTCATAGAAGCTTCTTTTAATTCTAACGGATTTTTATCCGCTTTATGAACTGCTCTGAATTCTACCACAATTCCTCTTGGCAACGATTCTGATCGTCGTTTCTTTGGTCAGCCATATCCTTGTGATTAAATATTGCTGGGTTCAGTTTATGTGCTGCAGGTATTCCTCAACCTTCATTTGTGGAATGGAATACCAAAACCGAGTGATTGATGTTATAGTACGAAGCATTGGATAGCAAAAATATTGCTCCTTGAAATCTAAGTTATTTCATATCAGCTAAATTTTACACTTTACAATACTTAGAGCATCGAAATTCACTTTTCGTTATTGACTATATGTTTGCTGGTTCTAATTTTTGTGCATAGCGGCTGCTATACAAGTCAAAGTAAAGAGACATATAGTTTGGTTAAACGGAGAATTCCTTCACAGTTTGTATAATATATGGCCAATATTTTATTGTCAAAAGCATTAATTTCGAGTTTTCTATTTTGCGTTGTTGAAATAACATAGCTTGTTCTTCCATTTGTCAAATATAGCTTGTTTTATTTTTCACATCCTCATTATAAAAGCTTGGTCTGCAACAGCTGTCATCGGAATCAGGCTGCAAAAGGCTTGCCATCATTACTAGCAATTGGGGTGAATATTTTTACTTTCAGCGAATTGATGTTTGGATATGCTGAGCATGCTAACTAGTGGAAATCAAGGTGTATAATCGTAATCATGTTCATTCCAAACAAACTTAAGACGTGGAAGATTTCTTTTTTCTTTTTCTTCCTAGTATTACCAAGTCATGCCGCCAAGGAATATGAATAGATTTTTCGCCAGTAGTAATTGTAGTATTGAAGCATTAGCAATTAGATTTCAGTCAGGATGATGTTCTCTTCTAATTTCTGTTTCTTAAATCAGAACATTTGAAAATATTGTAGCTAACGAAGTTGATGGAGCCGTTAGTGGTAATTCTGTCGAATGCTTCGGAATTTGAGGTTTATTCTTGTTCCTCTACATAGTAAATGCATATCTATCATTATCAGATTAACTAATCAAAGGTTGCAGTCGTTTTTATTCATTTCAGCGGCCATTATGAAATAGATTGAGTTATCGATAAATTCAAGAAAGATATCTGTTAGTGGTCTTATATGTAGAAGAAACACTCACTAATAGAAATGGAATTTGACATAGTTCTAATAAAATATTAAGTTCAAGGCCGTAAATGTGTCTATTATGTATTGTCTCGTTTCTATTTCCAGTTTTAGCCTTCAGTTGTTTTGAACGTAAATTTAGAGCGCAGAATTCAGGAGAAAAATTTTTTAAATCATGATTTTTATATGTATTAGCTGTTTTGTAAATCGAATTAGAATAATTTGTTCAACAGTTGTGGTTTTCTCCCATGATGTACAAGGTATTACTTTTCAATAAATCAGAAGATAATTTATATCAGCAATGGTCTTATGAGTAATTATGATTCAGTATGTATTCAAAAAGTTCATTCGTAGATGTGTAGAAATAGAAGCCCAAGTTTTCGTTACTAAATTCATTAGCTGAAAACTTAAGACAGACTAGGTTTGTTGGTACTTCGTTTGCTGTCCTTTTTTTGGAGACTCAACTATTTCCTTTCAGCACTTGCTTCTTTCATGTTTACTCCTTCAGTACATCATTGTTATTCTGCATTGTCACTTCCCTTTGTTTCTGAATGAAGCGTGATGTTATATAGAAATATAAATTCTTTTTCTATGGATCTTTCTACTTTTTTTCATTCTCCCCGCATTGTTATTGCAGAGAATTGGAAGATATTAGAATAGGATATTCTTTGTTCATATCAAGAATTGATGGGACGTCTATTTTTTAAAATAATTATCAAATTTTTTGCATCTCTTCATTGCTGGACATCTGTCTAAAATCAAGTCGTATCTTGTAGTGGTCTGGTCAATCCTATCGTACCAAGCAGCACATCTGGGCTTGGTTCACCACAAAACACCAAGAATGTAAGCTGTAGTAATACACCAACCGATTCACATCGACGTTCATCGGATCTTTACTCGCCGAATTCATCATCGAAACAAATTCATAAAGAAAGGCAATAATAATAATACCATTCTAGTTGTGCAAAAGTCTTCTTAAGCTGTTCGTTTAGAAACTTTTGGTTCAGTAGTCAAGTAATACATGAGAAAGGTAATATGGTATTGGTTTATCACATAGATTATAGAGTATCACAGCATCGACTTTCCTCAGTATCATCTCGTCGGCAGTCACGAGAACGAGATCGGGAACGGGAAAGAGGAAGCTCAAATAGGATGGATGATCGGTCCCAGCGAATCAGAACCTTGGGCAGCAATGAACGGTAATGAGTATTTAATTGGGTTCATTTGCTAGTTAATGTTATCTACTTAGTGACTAAGTAAAATCATTGAGTAGTTTTGATTGCAGGCGAATAGGTACCTGTGACTCACGTCTTCCCAGACGATCACGTCATTCACCTCGTGCATCTGAATCGTCAGATTCTAGTCGAGATTCACAGAGTCCAAGGCAAGCAATTTAAACTGTTGTAAAGGGTATTGAGATGTGCTTTGAAATTGTAACTCGAAATCTTCGACATTTCTTTCTAAAATTTTCTCATGAATTTTGTGCGCAAAGTTTAGTTTGCTGTCAGAAAAAAATTTGATGAGTTCTTTCTATTTAAACGAAAAGGTATGTGTATCGGGTGCTCAACAGTTTTCAGAATATATAAGTTCTTATACTTTATAGGTTGAATATAAAGTGCAGTGTTCTGGGTTTCCTTAGGAATTATCAGATATTTTCACATAATCGAGAAAAAGATTCCTTGGAAATCTGTTTTACCAAAGTAGTTCTCTAGATTTGTGTACATTCGTCTTAGAAAGTTTTGGATGTAATTTCTGTCTAGTCTTCTGTGTTATCTGAGGTTCTTATTACTCTAAAAATTCCAAATTATTAGTTCAACGAGAGACTAGGAATCTGGGCAAATACACATAGAGTCTGTTTTGTAGCCTTGTATCTTGCAAAGGCGGTATCGCATTTCATCGTAGAACTTTAGGTCTGTACAATTCAGAAAAGATCCTCATGTAAATAGTATTGATTAATATCGTGTTACAATAATGTAGGACCAGATTCATTGAGAGAGTTGTTGGTAATAAATATGACGAATGGAATTTAGCAGTATGTATACTGAACCATATTACTGCATTAGATAGTGCCATCTGGTTGCAAAGTACTTTTTTTCTTTCTAACTAATCTATGTCTTGCATACTCATTATGTGCATTTTCAAGAAGTTAATTGCGCGAAACACTCGTTTTCGTTTCTTTTTCTGTTTTACAGTATAATCTTATAATTGCAGTGGTTCTTCTGGGCACCATTATCACTTATCCAGTGCCCACACTGTGTTATCAACAGTAGTAAAATTAGGAGCATCAAATTTACGACGCAATGAATCCATCGCTTCCAGCGAGCCATTGACTTCGTGTGGTGCACATGATACTTCATGTGTTCAAGGATTGGAAGGTTTGAGTGTTTATTATTATTGGCTGCTATGATGTTGCTATACATTTGCTCTTTCGCCAAGTTCCTGCTGTTGCTTTGTATCTTTATAGCTTCTACCAATAATATCCGACCATGTAGCAGGTTTCAGGTATTTATGTATCAAATTTACCAACTTCACGTACTGAAAGTTCTCTGAAAGATGGCTTGATAGATTTGTTTAAGAAATTTGGTAAAATTGTTCACATTACCTTCGAAATGGAATCTGGTCCTAATTTTACCGAACAACGTCGAGCGCTCATTATTTTTCAGAGGTACGTGCCATGAATTCTACAGGATCTTGGTTGTCGCATGTTTTGATCTTTTGATTTTCAGGCTAACGGATGTGGAAAAGCTCAAAGACGTTCATCATTTGTTCGGCTTGCGACTTAAAATCAGATTTGCTAACCATGTAACTGTTTCAGAAACCTACCACACTTATTTAATCACAAGTGGGCAGGTAGTCGCTTTTTCAAGTGTTTTTCATATATTTTGTTCTTGTACGAATTGTGATTCGATGATAGCTTACTGAAATGTCTAATCACTTCTGAGGTAGAATTTCAGAGAGATTTTGTGACCCAAAGATAATATGGTTTGAAATGATCCTGAATATATAGATGTGAAAGTTTCTCGTAAATTTAGGTTAAAAAGTTCTCCCATTTGATTATGCTTTTGAAAGCAGCCAAATTTATTTTCAGGAATGTTCGTCAACTCAGGATAGTGCATCGACATCTAGTTCTTCATTAGTCGACTCGCTAGCAACACGGGCATCAAGAACACTATATGTTGGTGGTTTAGAACGACGGACAACAGATGACTCTCTTCGATCCCGCTTTAGCTATTTTGGACACATCCTAGAAACAGGTTATGTTTAATCCTTTCTGTTATATCGGTAGTAACTTAATATAAATTAAAACAAAAGACAAGAGCTTATTCGCTTTGTAATTCGCAAGGTTTAACTGAGAGAGATACTACTGGTACTACAATTTGTCTAAGGAAATTGCTTTCATATAATGCGGAGGGATGTAGGTTACCTAGAAAAACTAATGATGTTTAATGTCAGTTATTCTTAGTTTAGAAGTGAAGAACTGGGAAAGTCCGTCGCCGTTTGCCTTTATCCAGTTTACTGATATTCACTCGGTTGTCTGTGCTATCAATGCATATGCACAGTCATCTCATTCATCAGGAAGCAAAGGAAAATTGAAGGTAACTTAAGTATCTTGTGGTTCATCTGTTTTCCTATATGATTTCATTGCATATATGATGCCTACTATTTGTGGAATTAGTGTTCAGTTTTGTCATGGATCTTTGGAGTTACTTGAGGTAATAATGAAGATAATGTAGCATTGTAAATAAAGTAGCATAATCTGTCTGGAGAAAGGAGCCAGGGTAAAGTGAAGCTGGAAATTAATGCTCTTGAAGGTTTGCTTTATATATATAAATATAAAGCAGTCAAGAGTACTGATTTGTTTTGCTCTACCGAGGTGCCTAGCAGTTGAGCTGCGAGCTAAGTCGATCGCATTTAAAGCAGGAAATAGAGGAGAAATGGAAAAAAAGCCGAACCGGGATTCTTCAATAAAAACAAATGAAAGACAGGTGAGTTTGTTGAAGAAAGCCCCGTGAAGGTCATGGGAAAGACCACTATACCGGAACGGGTTGAAGTACAGCAAGGGTGGCTTAACACTATCCAGCGCGAAAATTAAGAAGACAAAAAAGAACATTAACCCCTGACCTGCCTGCACATGAACTATATTTATTTATTTATTTGTACTTATATTAATAATTTTTAAGACAAATTGGGGCAGAACAATTGCAAGTAATAAAATCTGGATCGGTGAATTGCCTCCGAGCTGTTCAGCAGATTATTTACGTGAAAAGATCCGAGTTTCGTTCACTGATACGTTCACCGAAGTTATTTATGATCCGCGGTATAAAGAAGCGCTTCTTTTATTTAACAGCAATGATAGCGCCCAGAGAGCATTTACAATGATTAAAACGAAACAAATGTGTGTTTTGTTCCGAATACAGAACTTGTGTCCGATGTTTTATATAGTAGCTGCCTGCTGGATAAAAATTAATCATTAATTTCTTACATGTTTTTATGAATTGTTGTTACTATAGAGTGGTTGCAAATTGTATTTTATGCTTTCAAATTTAGAAATGCGATGAGGTAATTTCAGAGCATTTTGGAACGCAGATGAAAAAAAAGATGTTTATGTTCCAGTTGATTACTGTTCCGAAAAGTTACACGATTATTTTGTGGATCGGAAATTTCGTGGCGAGTCTGGAGGTTCTTGTAAGTTTGTTAAGACTTGAAGGTTTATTTTGTAGTATTGGATGGCCTTGAAAAATTGCGATTTATGACTAGCATTTGCAGCTTCGAATGGTACTGACTTAGGTTCATACTCTGGAAGCATGATGTCACTCTGTGGAGAGCCTTCAACTCCTTCCGCGTCTACATCATTACTTGCACCACCACCGGATCCGCCTAGTCATTTGCGTGATACAGCTTCGAGGTTTTTTTCATAAGTTGGTCGGGATATATTTAGTAGGGACTATTACTGCTGTCAAATAATTTCTCTCAAATGTGAGGAGTGTAAATTTGCTCTTATTCTGTATAGAGTGTTTTGCAAATTATGGGTGTGCTTCCAAATCCGATGACTAATAACTCTAAAATCAGTGAAATATTTACCGATTATCAAGTATCAGGCAATGTATCATTGTAATAAAATGGTAATTAATGCTTTAGGCATAGGCATCAAGGAAAGTTCAAGATGTAATTCGGAATGCGATATCATTTGTGACATCTTTATCACCGCATTTTCATAATCTAGCTTTTTATTCTTAGAGCCGAATATCGAAAGTCGAGTTCCAGTACGGCGTCAAGGAGACGAAAAAACGGTGAAGGAGGTGGGACACGAAGTACATCTCGATCCCTTAGGTACTCTTCCTACAACAGGTAACATGTTTACTGATGATTGGATTATATTAAATTTTGTACAAATACTTTTTACGTCAGTTGAGGTGCAAATAATAAATAATTGAGAAATTAATGAAAAGCTCTTAAAACTATCTGGTAGTTCCAGACGACGTCGTGAGAGAGTTTGGCGCAACAATGTCTCTCCTTCATCATCGTCATCCTCTACTTGCAGTGATTCAGATAGTTCGAGCACATCAGATAGAAAGAGTATAATCAACGATCATTTACGCAGTGACAACCAGCGATCTCAAAAAGATAAGGTGAGGATGATTAGAAGTATTTATTGGAAGTCGATATACAATCAAAGATTGGCTGGTATATTTTATTTTTGTGTATAGGAAATACTTTCAAGTGTTATGCTTGTTATTTGCGTTAAAAGATTTTCTGTCATCAAAATTTGTTATTTAGACCACAGGGCAGTCATGTAATTCACAACAACCTGCTTCTCCCGTTGTAAGTAGATCTGACCAAAATATAGAGTCGGTAAATAATACACCGGGAATCTCTTTACAAACGACAGCAGTGAGCAGCAGTTGCACAGGAATATGTTTAGCGCGGCTACTTCCACCTCCTGTACCATCGGCATTAATTTTGAATCCAGTAGCCGTTGCTTCTCTGTGTGAGGGGATGGAGCAACAGGAACATGGAAAGCTAGATGAAACTGATGCAAATAATGATAAATCGGCTAATAAATACGAAATCAATTCTCGATTTCAGCAGTCTTTCCCCTCATTGAAGATCTCTGTTGACAATGAAAAGTCAAATGAAGAGAAAGGCAAACGTACAGTAGAACAGCACAGTGAAGCAGAAAATCAGCATCATAAGAGGTGAAGTGTTTTCTAGTTATGTCGAAAGAATTATGCAAGTTACGTTGATAGTGAAGTTGAAAAGCAGTTATTTACGCTTTCTTCCATTTAGAATAATTTTTTAAAGCTCGAAGTGAGTGCTGTAACATTTTTTGATTGCATATACAAAATATGTAAATATACAGCAGGCACAGTTGAATGTTATACATTCTACAAGATAATTTCGAAAAAAATTTTAATATTTGTTGCACTTTCCCTGTTTGCAACAGTTGTGTGGTATAATCCAGAAATTATTGATGTAGTGCTTACTTTTTAGATCTCATTTTTACCATTCTTATCACTCCATTCCCAGTAATTTTCTCCATTCTTATAACATTATAGTGATGACTGTCAATTAGGAAACAAGATATTACATGATGTTGGATCTCATGATTCTGCAGATAACGAATTGAGTTCAATTACGGTAAGTCTTTTTTCTTCATTTGTGTGCTTCGGATTGATTGTGAATCAGCATCGTTAGTGTGATGCAGTTATTTTCCTAATTTGTTGCGTGTACAAAGTAAATGGAGTTAATTATTTTCTCTGCAAACTTATGTTCATTGGCAGCTTATTGGTAATATGGACTGTTTATGCTCTTCAGTTAGGTATTATGAATTTGATAGGGTCTAGTTTCCAATTTATTATTATTTTTCACTTTTCACAGTATGAATTTTAATGATTTTTGGAAGTTTTTTCTTTTTTAAATTTTAGTCAAATCGGATTGAAGAGATTGCTAATACTTTGGTTAATGTGCTGCAACATCATTCCAAAGCATCCACTTCAACAACATTTAGTACTCCCTCAGATGTTTTGAGTGGTGCTCATAATAGTCATTTATCAAATCGGTTTATTCAGAAATCAAACGATGATGTATTCTGTGCTAAGAATTCTAGCAGAGTATCTTCAAAGCGATGCAAATGGCCATGGGGTTTGTAATTGCAAATACTTGTATTGTTTGTGAATTTTTAAAAGTCTCGTGTGCATTTAAGTTCTCGGTAGAGCTAAGCATGCTGATGATATTATTTGATGGTATTAATAATTTCATGGTATTCAATAAAGTTTTGCTCCGAAAATGTGGATTATACTTTGTTGCAATTCTAATTCTTTGGTATACGGGAAAATGCAGTCTTTATTGATCCTGCATACTATTTCTGTCGTAAAAACATTAGACTATTTAGGTAATGATCCAATAAAAAATCACTGTGCTATTCCATTAGATGGAAGTGCTAATCGAACCAAGGATCCGCGGCAGCGACAGCAAAAAGCTGAGCCGCATTCTGTAATTATATTATCTTTACCAAAATTTGTTCATGACCACCATTCATATATTAATAATGCACAAAATGCATTCCCGGATTCATTTCGCTCTTCACTGCATCAAAAACGAAATTCGAAGCGCTCAAAAATCAGTGTTCCTGTTTCTGATCATACTGGCAAGTCATTGACCCATTTTTTAAATCAAATATTTGTTCGTGGGCATTGTGAGATTATTATCAACTTTTGTGATTTTTATAAGAATTCATGCATACATATTCCATAATGAAGTTATATTTAGAATGCCATTTGTTGATATTCATGATTTCAATGTTTGTTGTCCTGTTTTTTCTAATCTGTCGCAAGAAATTCTTTTCGAACCACATTTGCATGAAATCTAAAACATGACTGAACTATATCATTCTTTACTTGTGATTTTAGGAAACATGGTACAATTAAGCAATAGTCCTTCACCGCAGAATTTTGCCGAAAGGCTGGCGCATTCATCAGTATCACGATCGGAATCAAGTAATAGCGAAGTTATGCTTTCTCCGGATCTCTCATGTTCTGCTACACAAATTTCATTAGTAGCAAGTACAATAGATATATTTGGAGATACGTCTCCCGCCAATAACTCGAGTGCTTATCGTGAACGCCTTGATGCATTAGCTGCTACATTTCAAAATATTGAGCAGAAGTTTCAGGTGAATTATCACTGTAGTCGGCAGTTTAATTATAAATAACTGCTCCTATCCATCTACTGGTGCACTTTGATTTCATAATCAGTATTTTATAGCAAATATTGGTTATTTAAGAGTGTGTGAACTTTTTTTTTCCAATTCATAATCCGTCTGACATCATTCATCATTAGAGGAAGTATATCGCTTATTCAGGACTAGACAAATGAATCCCAATGTCATTTCATTCGCACTATGTTTATTAAAGTTATTTTGCTCTTTTCACTTTCATTTGCTCAATTATGCTTATTCTTTATAGAAAACAAAGCAAAATTCCAACTTGGATTACGACCGGAAAGTATCTTTACAACGCATTTACAAATTTGAGGAAGAGTTGGAACGATTAAAGGCTCGGACTGTGCCATCTTCAGCGGCCGCCATTTCGATAGCATCAACTTGCTCAAATCCCACATCTAGTACATATTCAGATTCATTTCCGAAATCGCGAATGAGTGGCAATGAGACCACTTCGACTACGGATTCCAGAAATGTAGAAATTCAGAAGTCAAGTCGCATACCTCTCTCGGTTTCGATCCCACTTCAATCATTTCCAGTATCGTCCATTACTTCCTCAATACATTTGGCATCAATCTGTTGTACTAGTAATACCGCATCAAATCTTCCATCACCGCAGTTCACCAATGCATCACTGAGAAAACCTGTGATTATAAGTTCATCACAGAATGTTAATAATCAATCAAATCTGCGTGTTACTTACCCTCCCAACTTCTGCATCCCACCTCCGCCGCTCCCCCAACCTCCTGTACCTCCAACACTGTCTTCAACGACATGTAAGCCTGCACCAGTTGGTACTACATTGATCTCAGCTCCACCACCACCGCCACCATTGGTAATTTCTGTTTGCTTGCGTTGTTTCTTGATTATCCTTAGAAGTTTGCAATCGTAACTGATGCAGATGTTGAAAAGTTTCCAAATGTTTTTTCATTGACATTCACCGCAATCATTTCTCTCTTTCTTCTTTTGGGTGACTCTTATCTCTAACTTGGATTCCACGAACTAAAAGTTGACACTAATTAATCATGGTACATGCGTTCTATTGATAGCAAACACTTGATTAGATCTGTTGGAGATTTTTTTATAGAACACCTCATCACAAGTCATATATGCTTTAATACAATTACAAATGCATTAGTATAAATCCATTATAAAGGATCATACATATTTTCGAAATGTAGGGAATTGTGCAGTACTTCAGTTTAAACGAGGTTATTCTCACGATTTCAGATGACTGACACAACTTTTCATTCAAATGATTCTTCATCTTCAAATCATATCTCATTGCTTCAACCATCTCGTGCTTCCTGCCCTCAAATGAACTTACTCTCATCGTCGTGGAAAATGGCATCAAAACCATCCACTCCTCCACCTCCTTCAGTGCATCCTTTCATTACTCCAAAACAATTTTCTTCACCGATCAGCACACCGAAATCAGTATCAGCAGGATCAGGTATTACAGCTGCAGAAGTTGGCAAAGTGCAGGCTTGGACTCAAGGAGCTGACAAAGTTTGTTATAAAAAGACTTGTTTCTTAAATGTTATTTATACTAGAAGTCAATTCCTCAAAATTTTAGATACAAATAAAAGACAAAGAGCATGTGAAGATGAGTTCAAAATTACTTATTCATGAGAAAAAGGTGTCAAAGGATTATCCAAACAAGAGGCCTTCATTAAGTGAATTGTTCCGGCAACAAGTGAGTATTAATTATTTCGGGTCATACGTGTTGTACTATTGTAGTCCATAAAAAACAAGTAAGTTGCTCAGGTTGAGAAGATGTGCTTAATCAAGAAACGCGTCGAGTTAATCATCCCACTCTCATTGAATAAGTTATGCTAGCTTATTCCAATATTCTCATCTTTGTCGCTGGTATTCTTCCAACAAATCGTTCGTTTTAGGCTCAAGACTCGTCAAAAGTTCGAAAAAAACAATTCAAGAAAGTGCCAGCAGACGATAGTAGTGAACTGAAGCATGATAGATCTGAAGTGAAGCAGGACAAGCCTTCTGAAGAAAGCCAAAAAGAAACTTTTGAAAGCGCGAAAGACAAAGAGCATGTGAAAGCTGAAAAAAAAGTATTTTTTCCATATTTCATATGTCCAGAGTTTAGTATTATCTTTTGTATCCAAAATTTGTATAAACTTGACGCACGATTAAACTTCTCACTCTTCTTCAAATGTCAAGTTTCATGAATTATGTGGTAAGTATACGGCATCATACATTACAAAGTTGTATTCAGGAAAGATTAAGCCAACAGAAAGTCGAGAAAGTGAGTGGTAAGAAGCATTCTGATGGCAGAGCGTCACAAGAAAGGAAATCGAAATCCAGTCAGCTCAAGCAGCGTAAGGACAAGAATGAAAAGGCTGAAGTAGTATGTTGCAGTTATTTATAAAATTTCGGTGCTTAGTTATTTAGCAAAAAAAAAATCGTAGATATATTCATTTTGAGGAGCTGGAATTTTTCTGCAAAAAATCTATTAAGTTTGTTCTTTACAGTGTGAAACAAGCAAAAATTGCGATGAAGGGGAAGAACATGACATAGAAAGAAAAGCTGAACGATCGGTAGAAAAAAACAGCAAAAGTAAATTAGTTAGGGATACTTCAGGATCTAAACAGAAGGAAAAAGAAAAACGGTCAAACGATTGCACAAAAAAACGGGTTTCGTTTTGTATTTCCACCTTTTATTGCAGTATTTACGAATGAGAGCAGCTTGACTTTCACTGATGATGAACACCTTGACATTTGTAACCTCTGTACCTTAACTTTTATTACATATATTGTGCATTATATTATTTTCAACTGCAGAATTAGAAACAAAAATGATGTAGTTCATTTTGAAAGAATTTGAGCAAGTAATGTTTGTTATTAAAGTTATCGCACACTCCTGATTTTTATTCAGCAAGAGGAACAGTGTAAAGGGAAAGAACAAGATAGAAAAAAGAAAGAACTGATGAAAAGAAGGAAGCGAAAGAAGGAATCAAGTACAAGTTCCAGCAAAGGAACTTCATCGTCAGAAGTAGAGTTGCATGTGAGTACATTGCTTTGGTAAACTGAGAAACTTGGTTTCATTTCAGTTATTTTGCTTGCCATTGTTACTTGTCTTATTCTTTTGATATTTTTTTCAAAATGATCTATTGATAGTAAGCATTTTTAGTCATTTGATCGAGAACTGAAACGACTATTTATGGAGGAGGAAGCTTCAGGTTTCATGGGTTTGTCAATGTATGATCGAGTAAAGCAACGTTCGTCGTCTAAGCCAGATGATATGGCTAGAAAAAATCGTGCTTTAGAACTATTGCAGGAACGGACTCAAAGTCGACGCAATGAACAAGTATGTTATAACATAAAATTCGAAAGAGATCAGTAGTCAGTTCGGTTGGAACATCGTTTTTAGAATGAATATTGATTGCTTTCATTGGACTCTTTTGTACATTATATTAGAATCGACCAAAGAGAGTGCAGCTTGAGAGTTCGTCGTCCGACGAAAACAATTTGTCAGACGGCCAGGAATCTGACAACTCTTCCGTCTGCATTACGAGAACTCGCGGTAGCAAAAAAAAGAAGCCGGGACAAAAGCGAAAGGCAACCAAAAAGTCGAGAGCAGTTGTGCAGAAAAAGCCGATTACTGATGAGGAAACGGAATTCGATAATGAAGAGAGCGAGGCTAGTTAAATTAATATTTTTCTTTCCATGTTCTAGAAAAGGTCTAGTGATCTCTTATAATTTTAATTCCAATTTGTGTTTGTGTGATATTTAAAAAAATTTAGCTTAGCAGTGTACAAATAAGAATTTTTCGATAGCCATCTAAATTAATCTGTGCATAAATATACAGATTAAAAGCAACTCTGGAACCTCAGGATCAGATGACGAGAAACCAGTAAAAAAGCGCGGTCGAAAAGTTGCATCAAAGTCAAAAAAACAGGTGCGGAAAAATGCAATCGATTTTTGTATTTTTTTCGGTTTTGTGTTTTACTCTAAATTCCATGAAATGTTATATAATGAGTTTAAAATTATGAGCATTGCTACTGTGGTTTGACGTAATTTATGCAGCTGTAAAGAGCTTATGGGAGTGATGCTCTTTCAGAAAAAAATGTCATCTTTGTCACTAGATGATGTATTTGGAACGTATTCCACAGATGAAGAATCCACCAAGCCTCGTGGTTCCATTCTCCCATCACTATACAAAGAAAAAGATAAAAAAGATGAAATTGTTAAAAAAAATGTGAAGAAAACTGAAGAATTGTGTAAGGAAAAAGTGGACGATAATAAATCCTCCAATTTGAAGAAAGAGCGAAATAAGAAGTTAGGAGGTAGTGATGGGGAGTCTGCTACGGATGAAAAAAAGGTATCTGTTTTTACTGTATCATAGTTGGAAATGACTTGATGAAGCACAGGATTTTTATCAGAATTTTTATTTAAAAGTTAATTTTTATCGTAAATACGAGTAGCAGTCGAGAAATAAAGCCTTATTGCAGTGAAACAATTTAACAATCTTTTGATTACTTTTCATATTGTTTTCAAGAATGTCTGGATAGCAGTACTTTGTGTTGAAATTTTGTAAGGTATTGGTCAAACACAAAATATTAGAGTTGAGATGCAAATTAGTAGGTAATGTGAAAGTATCATGCGAATAAAATTTCGTTAGTAATTTCATAATGAGTGCATGGAAGATTTTGAATTCATCTCAGTTTCTTAAAGAAAACAGCGCGGAAAGTTGAAAAGTGTAGATCAAAGCAGATTGAAAAAAATGAAAAGAAAATTGTTACGAAGAAGCGTTCGGATAAGGGAAATGAAACAAGTCGGTCATCTGTCGATGCAAGCATAGATCTATCGGAGAAAAAAAAACAGAAGACGGTATTTCTTTTCCAAGAATATTCCAATATAATACTGGAAACTATAATCATCAATAAAAGAAAACTGTCAGATATGGAACATGAAAATTTCGCATAACTGGCATTCTAAATTTCTTTGTCATGAACAAGTTCCCTTAATTTGAGTCTTCAGTTAAGATGTATTTCAGTGTATATCGTTCAGATATGGAAGAAAATATTTCAGGAAAAGTCTCTTGTCGAGATTTCCATGTTCCAGGAAGATGAAAAAAAAATGGCTAAAAGGAAATCGTCTGCAGTTAGTGAACGAAAGAAAAAAATTAAAAGAACTGGTGTCGATGAAGTGTTCGAGAAAAAGTTAGCAAAAAAGCTAAGAAGAGAGCAAGAAGTAAACTTATCTCACTCTCGTATTTTATTCTTTTTTCAGACATGAAATAGTTTTAACTCTATGTACGGTGTTTGCGAAATTTCTTTTTATCATAATAAGCGTCTTGTGAGAGATTTACTAATTTCATAATATAACTTTTATATCAAATCCATTTCAAGGATCATATATATTCACATTTCATAGTGCACGATTAATGTCCAGATTTGTCATGTACTTCTGTTTGTAGGGGAAGCGAGAGGAGCAGAGAAAAGATGCTGCTGAGGTAGGTGTAAAGGAAGAACCGATACAGAGTGATGGTGAACTGCCTAAAGTGGGTATGACAGTATGTGCTAATCGTGATACTGTCAGTACATCTGAATTTGTGGCTGCAAAGGACGAGATTACAGAAGGAATTGAAAAACAAGAGGTTGCACAAAATCATGGTTCGTGCGGCATGAAGGATGCTCGAAAAAGAATTTTGGAAGTTGAAAGTGCGAATTTCGGTACCAATTTCGATGTTTGACTTCAGTAATTTTATATTTATTGTCAAATGATTAAGGTTCTAAAGAAATTAAGCGAAGCAAGGAAGCGTCAAAGTCACCGAAAGCAAATTCACCTCAAGCTGATCCGGTTTTGCGTCATGATTCGGAAGCGGCGGGAAATTTTTCTGTAGAAGAAAACCCCCAGAAAGAAGTATTTTTTTCCTATGAACAATAAAATTTTCCATTAGTATTGTGTTTTGAGGTTTTTTTGATTGTTCAACGTTGTAAGAGAGCCATTGCGCGTAAGGCATTTACGAAGATATTTTTAAATGACTTTTTTTCCAGTTTTCGCAGGAGAATGATTTGGCTGATGTACTTGGATCTGAAAGCATGGAAAATGATTTATTGCCCTGTATTACTAAAGATACTGTCAATGTTCCTGAATCATTGAAGGTGGCAGCAGACAGCTCTTCTTTGGGAATGGTAATCTCCAATTGTGGTTGCAATAAGTCAATAATTGTTCTAATAATAAAAGATTCTTGGTTTGAGGAGGGCATTTCTGATCAGAGTTTTGTAAAGTTGCTTTAGAATTTTTGAGATATTAATGTCTTTCACTATATTTTTTACTTCAGGAAATTACTTGTGTCTTGGAAGAACATGAACCGAATTCAGCGTCACATCTTAGACACAGTATAGTGAAGGAACAGCTACTTGGTGAGTTATACCATCCCGAAAATCCTGTAAAGCAAGGTTTAGTGGAACCGAAGCTGGAATCTGATGAAATTACCGTGGATGCAAATCTCACTGCACTCAAGCAACCATTCGTAAGCTTTATTTTCTATTATTTGTGGATTTAATTTGTTTAACTGCCTGCAACCTTTGCTTTGCTTATAAATTTTGACTATCGAATACTGCTGCACTGGAATGGCAACGTAAAGCCTCTTAACTAACAAAATGTTTTAACAACAAATTTTTCATGCAACTTTAGTAACTTTCTTCTCTAAAAGACAAATTTCATTCGATAATGGCATATAAGGAATTCTTTTTCGGTCTCGGGGCGGATCAAAAAAAGACTCTTGTCATATACTGGAAGTTCACTATCGTGTCACCGTGAAATTTGAATTTTAGAGAATTTACTTTTTTATAATTTTTCGGTGTTTTCCAAGTAGTTTCACGACATAATTTTTAGCTTATGATTCACATATTCAAGGGTAAATTAGATTTGCACTTATTTCTAATAAAATGTGTTTTAAATTGTACATTCTTTCAACTCGTCTAATTAAGACTACAGTTTTTTCGTTAAAATCATGTATTTAGTGACTGTTAATCTGGGGATAGTAGTTTCCATAACTGAGAAGCCGAATGGGTTTTTATTCCAAATTTAGTTTAAGGAAAGCGTGTTAGGTGCTGCAATCACATATGTGATGCCTTGCAAGTTTGATTTAAGTTTTATTATATTTTTCTTTAATGTTATATTGTTGTTTTTCAATAATCTGCGTCTGCTGTTAAACGTTCCAGTGCATTTTGTTTAGTAATTTAAAACATGAATGATTGTACTCAAGTTTTGATTATTTACATTGTTGTGCTGGTAATAGCATGGGCTTTTAAAGTTTCACGCGACGGTAAAACATTAGCATTTAGTTGCAAAGCATGTGGCATGCACGCGTTTACTTTAGTTTCATGAATGGAAGTCATGTTATATTTTTATCTCGTACATGATAATTTATTTCTTGTTCTGCATCCTTTTTTATTCCATGCATGTCTTTTGAGTGCACTGTATAGAACTCAATGCTTTATTGTTGTATACCGCTTTTTACAACTCTAAAGTCTTTTGCCCATCTCTTACGATTTATACTTCGATGAAGAAGAATTATCACGAAGTATTTTATGTAAATTTGTTTTGATAATAGACATTTCTGAAAGCTATCAACAAACTAACATTGCGTTCAATTTAAGAGGCTGTCTGCGCATGATGTTGTAATATTTTCATTCATGAAATCCTAAAAAATACAATCAAGGAAGCATATACTACTGTTCTGTTATAGCCTGAAGAAGCGTATGGGGACCTGAATCAACGGAATGAGCAACAACTTGGCAAGTTTGATGGTGAGTTAGGAAAGGGAAATATTGGTCGTAATATCACACGTAGATGTTCCACTTCAACGAACAGCAGTAGCATCAGCGATAGTAGTCATTCAAGTGTACTGTCATCGATTTCATCTGCAATCCAGGAGACATATCTGGAAAATGATTCTGAAGAAAAAAAATTGCAACAAATTCCAGAATCAGAACAAGTCGAGGTTCCGTTTAATCGAGCTTCTGATGGTAATCGTTGCACAACCAGGTCAGGTTTCATGGAACAAACGGAAGAAGTAAAAGTACATATGGAAAAAATGCAGTGTCCGGTTCCTCAAGTCACTTTTATGCCAAGTTCGAAGGCAGAATATTCTGGTGCTTCCATAGTTCATTCTAGTTCCATGGTACAAAGGCAGTCCGAGACTTTCGTAGATTCAGACAAAAGTATATTGGAAAATGTAAATGATGCAGAATCTAATGAAAGCTTTGAATTAATTGATGAGGGTCGAGTTGGTGATATCGGTTTGTTGCCAGATCAGGATGTTGACAGTGATATTGGTAGTTCTGGTCGGGATCACTTCCAAAAAAGCGATCATGAAGGTGAACAACAAGTCAATCAAGAACCGGCAATGGAAGTAGATGACGATGGGTCTGAATGCATTGATGCCGTGCAAATGCAAGATGATGTTCACGATGTTCAGGTCTGTGCATGCAATGAAATTATATTTGTTTCATACGTATGTAAACTTATGCACTAAATCAAGCTGACATTTGCACTATTGCATTATTGATATAACGTGGTAAAAGTTACTCATATGCGTCACAGTCATGTGATCAGTGCATTCTGAACTAGAATTCAAGATTTAATCTCTTACATTCGAGTCATAAATTTGTTGGAAATAAAACATATAATCTAGTAACGTTGCTATTTTCATTAAGGACGTAGATGTAAATAATGTGTTAATTTCAATGGGATTAAAGAGTAAGAAGAGTTAGCGTTTATCTTGCAGTGCCATCCAATAGATCATTCAACACCCCGTCTCATATTTAGTAAATCAGCTTATATAGCACCTGTCACAGGTACGACATACATGGTTTCTGTGGCTAATAATTTGGTCTTCTCTCGAGTCTAAGCGCTTTTTTCGCAGGTTTTGATGTAAATATTGAATCCAAAATCAAATTAGTAATGCAGGGGTTATATACATTATCTGAGCAATATATATATATATTGCTCGATTCTGCTAAGCAATTAAACTACTGGGTAATCAAATCCTTAAAAGTAGGGAATCGAGGATAAGCGGGAGTAAATCTAGCTTAGATTCATGAATGACGGCATATGGAAAACAGATGAGGTTGCAGAAAAAAGCTCCGTGAAGGATATGCAAAGACGCTCGACCAGTGTACAGGCAGATTGCGAACACAGTCCAACTCAAAAATCAATAGTATAGAGCATAAAGTTCACCTGTGGACTCTGCTGCTCATGATATATATAGTCCAGATTTGGTGTTTTATGAACTCTAAAAAGTAGCTCATTCTTGGTAGTTTGAAATCATACTTATATGTCTGTTGCAGGAGACTGAATATGCTGTTCAATCTATTGTTTTGGACGATAGTAGAAGCCAGCATAGTGGCGAAGACAGTAACGCTGTTATTGATTATTTAAGTGAGGGGGACAGTGGTACTAATTCAAGGCATGAAAGCGTTGGCAATGCGGCAGCGCTAATGAATGTGAATTCGAATCTCAGTATCCATCAGCATGTCGGAGCACAGGACAATGAGGACGCTGTGGAAGAGGGTGATATTATGCAAAAGTCAGCTACCGATACTGAACTACAGGTAACGTGGTGTTAAGCATAAAATAGCTTGCTGATTAACAGTGATTTTGATGTACATCACTTCTTATTGATCGAAGATTGAATGTAAAAGCTGTCAGAGTTAAGCATTTCTTCTGTTTTCTAGCATCTACAAGGGCTTCAATGCGAAAGCGTAGCTTGTAGCTGTTGGAAAATTGATGAGATGATTACACTTTTGTAAGTAGTAATTAAGTTCACAGTCAGCTTTATATTTTAACTTTGAAGTTGATATCGCGACTCAGCTTCTATCATAGTTTTGCTTGCTATTTTGTTTATATGTAATGCTATTTTTGCATCTAAAGTAGTCCTCAGCTCCTTTAATATCAAATTTTTATCATAGTTCTTGCATATCAAGTCATTGGTGGACTTAACTGGCAACACGAATCATAATTTGAACACCAGTAATCGTCTTTATTGTTATAGGATGCTGAACCCGAAGGCTCTGAGACTGTGAAGACTAACTTGGATATAGATGATAAACCAAGTGATTCACATCTTGATGAGGTATCTTTAATTCATTTCTTTTATCTTTTACAATCATTTTATTTGTTTCCTTCTTGCTTTACAATACTGTTCGCTGTAGTAGTAGTCATTTGATGCACTGTTTTGCACCTATTTTCTTTGTATCTCCTTAGGAACTTCTAGTGCAAAATGCATGATATTTTTCTTTTGGCTTTGAATCGCAGAAAAAATATATTCCGTGTTATTAAATATTTGTTGTTTCAAAAAATACGATCTATTCTTTTTGATATTATTTTCGCAGCTTAATCATAGTAGTAGTGATGAAGTTCGTTAGTAGTAATGAATTATAAATTCTCAAGCTGCAAATTATTGTAACAGAAGGTCTAGATTGAAGACTAACTTAACCCACACACCTTATTATGGCATTATTTGTAGATAACACGAAATATGAATGTGTGACCGTTGCAATTTGTCTTACTACATTATAATTTTCATTTAAAATAAGTGATTAATATTAATACTTGGTACGGCGTTAAGCGAAAATCCTGGAGTAATGACCGAAAAATTTGATTGTTTGATAAAACGTATGCAGCGTTACAAAAAAATTGAGGATTTTTTGCATCCATGCTTTAATGTAGTATACCGTTATGAAAAAACATCCCACCACTTGTTATAGGTTATTGATGATGTAGTAGCTGGTGGGTACATGGAAGTAGATGCTGAGCAACTAATGCGTATAAACTCTAAAAAGGCAAAAGAAGAGGCAGTTTTACGAGCTGCAGCTGCATCTTCGCAACAGAGCGCTGCTCCGAAGGTAGGATCGGTACCAGTTTTCAGTGCTGCTGCTGCAGATTCATCGCAGGCAGCTCATAATTATCAGAATGCATTGCGTGGGCATTCTATGCATGTAACGCAACAACAGCAATCACTGCCACCACCTCAACCACAGCAACCACCGCCGCAACAGCAGCACCATCAGTATGGGATTGCCAGTAGTTATCAAATTCAACACTCACAAGTGCCGCAGCAAATGCAGTTACAGCAGGTACTAAAATATTTTAATCATTGGAAATTATGTTCAGCAGATTCAGTCACTTTTTTGTCTTTATAATGGTTTGTTCTGAATGCAGTTAATCTCGTGGCTGACTTCAGCTTGCTTTGTCTAGTTTCGGATTTGATTCCGAGATTATTATCGAAATGTCAGACCACTGTTGCTGAACCATTTAGTTGCATTGGTAGTACTGTCTTTATTACCAAAATCTTTGACAAATACTTTCTTCGAATCAATCCTTGTTTTGCGTATTAATGAAGTGTGGTAACTAAATTTGGTGAGCTGGAAGAATTCAGTCTATTTTATTATCGATTTTGATACACTTCAAGCTTATATTCTGTTGTGTTTGTTCTATCTTTTCGATTAATAATCTATAATATTAGGTAGTATATTTTATTATGTTCTTAATCGCTGTAGCACCATATTTTAACTTGAAATTGGAAGAAGAATCTTTTCTATCTAGCAAATACGGTATTTAGCTCTATCCTGTGCAGTAAGAAACAAGATGTCATTGGTTTTAATGTTATCTTCCCAATATTAGTTATAGAAACCATCAATAATATTGTTTCCTGGTACGTAGAATATTTGTGATTAAGACTAGTTTTTTAGAGTCTTTTGCCGCAGCAGCAAACACAGCAAAGCATTCTTCATGGTAGCCATGTAGTGGTTCAACAGCAACAGCACATGAGTCAGTCCGTAGTACAATCGCAGCAACAGCGACATATGGGTCAAGCCATAGTACAGCAGCAGCATATGGGGCAATCTGTTGTACAGCCACACATTAATCAGTCCATAGTACAGCAACAACAGCAACAGAGTAATCGTCTTACTTCTTATCAGCACTCACAACCACAAATGATGAAAATTCCAGACACATCATATCAGTTTCAACCACAACAGCATCTTCCACCAATCGAGCAGCCAGTGCAAGGGACTAGCGCAATCACACTACAGCAGCAGCAATCAACGCATTTATTGCAATCAAAAAGTATTGGCATAAGTAATTTATCATCGTATTATCAGGGTAGGAATGTTGCACAGCAAACTAACTGTACAAGTTTTGCTCCATCTCAAATATCGCTTCAGCAGCAGCAACATTTGTTAGTACCACAACAACCATCTGACAGTATTCAAAATATTATGGGTTCAATAAACGTGAGCTCAGCACATGCTGTACCTCAGCAATCAGAAATGCACCAAGTTGTGCAAACGGTGCCACTGCAGCAGCAAACTACTCATTTGGTATCGCAATCTCGCTTGCAGCAACAGCAGCAGCAAACGCAACAGCAGTCAGTTAATTATGGATTGAGCACACCAGTGGTGACAGCTACATGTAATGCTTCAGTCACAACAGCCCAAACCGTAGCGTCTGCAGGTGCTGCATCTCAGCAGCAACTGGATTTAAGCAAACAGATAGGACTCTCAACTCCATCCTTTCAAGCATCTGTCACTACTAGCTCACCGTATGATTTATACTCCAATTTATCGAAGAAATCAACTACAGTGGCTTCACAACAACAGGTATTTGCTTTTCTGTTGTCTGATGACTGATGTGCATCTATTCTACTTTCTATGCAGTAGTGACATCTCTGCTCTCTGTACTAATCATTTGAAAAAGGAATATTAAAAGTGCTTTTAGATTGAAGGTAGAGATACTTATAGGTCCAGATCATAGTCCTTGAACCTGAGAGATCTTTTTATTGTGGGTTTTGGATCATTTTGCACGTTTTAGATGCATATGATTCAACAACAACAGCTCAAGGTCTCTCCAGTTGTGCGCCTTAATTCTTCATCAACCATGTCATCATCACTAGTGGGACACTCTGGTCCTTCAGCTTCCACCACAGTTGCAACTAATGCGCAGATCAGTCGGCCGAATTCATCTTCTATCGCTTCCCATCAATCCAATCGTGTTATGCAACAGCAGCAACAGCAGCTTTCACCATCTCATCAAGCAGTTGCATTCGCAATTGGCTTACCTGGTACTACTTCACCATTTACGCAAATGCAGCAACAATACTTACAGCAGATGTATCGTTCAACGTTTTTAAACACTTTCCAAGGTATATATATTTTTCAGTTTAGTATAGATCAAATTCTCAGTCTTTGTGTAATTATCCGAGTACTGTTGTGTTCTGCATAGAAATATAAATATCATAGCCTGCTAACGAATTTTGACAACAGGAGCATACAATGGAGGAAATGTAGCAACAGCGGCTGGACCATATGGGGCAAGTGGTTATTCAAGTACGCCAAACAGTTCAGCAGCAGCAGCGGCTGCCGCCGCAGCAGCAACTGTATTGCCTAGTACTCTTCGACAAGATACTCAACGACAGCGGCAGCAACATATAACGGTTAGCTTAGTATAATACCCTTTTTAGGAATGCGCTGTGCGCTGGAAGAAAATTACACGATCTAGCGTTTCTGCATTTTTGTGGAATAATGTGATTGGGAGGGAAGAAAATAGGCTGTAACAAACTTGTGTTTTCATCCTACAGATTAATAATTTCACTTATCCAATGTATTGGTTTAGTATTTACTCTAATCTTATGAAGTAGAACTTTCAAGCTAACGAATATAAGTATCACTTGAAAATAAGTTGTTTGGAATAGCCAAGTTTTGTATCCAGGCTCTAAAACAAGAATGCTAAATCCTAATGGTAGAAATTTCTTGTCAAGCTTTCCTGAATTTTCTTCTACTTAGGATCTCCATCAGCAACAGCAGCAGCAACAACAACAGCAACAGTATTTAGCCTCCAGTTTATATCAGCAGCCCTCTCCTACAACCACACTTTGTTCTCCGCAACAGGCTAATATCGCAGCTCAGCAGTTAAATTCGCTCTATGGAGCTGTTACTGCAACCTTTCCAATTCCATGCGAATCACCTTTATTGATAACTTCTCAGGTATCTATAATTCATTACTTCAGTAATGTGTGCTGTATCTAATTGGGAACATTGTTCGGGATCATTGTAGTTAGAGAGTGATATTGGAATTAAGAATCCTTACTTAAACAGTTCTTACTCTATATGCATACATTCATTTTTTAAATCGCTATAGTCATGTTTTTTCAGTTCGTATTTAAATAGTAATTTTTGCACTTGTAATTGCAGATAACGAGTCAGCCGGGAATGTATCATGCTGAACTTTCACAACGTCAACAAGATATCAAGCAGCCAGTTAAACAGAAACTTCCACACCAACAAGTAAAGACTTATGCAGGTTTATCAGGAGTGTCAGTCATGTCGGTAAGTTTTTTTTAATTTACCTCGGGAGAAAATTTTTTATGTAATTATGAATTGTCACACTGTGAGTCTTACCACATCTAATGTCGATCATAGATCTGTTAGTAAATTCACTTCCAGAATACAATACAGTTTCTCCTACAATACGATTTGTTAATTTTTGTAATGCTAAACAAAATGGATTGTGTATTTCTAGAAAATATATATTTTACCGTTTATTTGATGTTTTCAGCGATATCCCGTTATGTGGCAAGGTATAATTGCTCTCAAAACTAATGAAACACGTGTACAAATGCATAAAGTATGTTACGTGTCTATGCACACTTAATGCAAGTCTTATGTTGGTTATAAAATTTAATATAAGTTGTACTGCACCATTAGCAGTGCTTGTGCATAGTAAAATTGTATAGTATACTCATAGATAATGCATAATATACATTTAAAAATCATGAGTGTCAGATCGTTATGAGAAAGTTGCAGGTTGGTGGTAATGCCGAGATGTGTAAGCGATCATTAGATCAGTTTACAACAACATCAAATCATATGCCATTAATAAGGATTAATCAGCGCATGCGTATGGAAGCTAGTCAACTTGAAAGTATAGAATTGTTTTTGCACATTATTTTTCTCTTATAGAATCCAAATTTTCAACCATACCTTTTTTCAGTGTACAATAAGAAATAAACATTAGTTTTGTGTGACAGTTTTCATTGCTTTCTTTCAAATCCCGCAACTGTTCATTCTAGGTGTACAATGTAAAATGATGGATGAGCATTCTTACATCGCTTTGATTTGTTTGTCGTGCGGTCCAAGCAAAGAAGATATCAAAAGCCAATCCGAAATTCTTAAAGAGCGCTTTGTTGATTATTTGGAATCCAAGCAAGCTGCTGGAATATGCAATGTCGGCAATGAAGTACTTTTTACAGTAGTCATTCCGTAGACCAAGCTATTAATTTTTATTTGTCTGGTTCATTACACAGCCTGCATTAAATTGAATTACATGCACTGAAATCCTGCAAGAGTTGTTTACTTCGCCTTTGTTCTCATAACCGGCATATTTATGAAACATTTTCTATGACGGAAAGCAGTAACAGTATGCTGTGTTTTTTAAGTCATGATCTTGAAAAATATGAGCTTAATCGGTATTGCGAACATTAATTTGTAGAGCATCCGTCATGAGTTAAGTTTGGGATAACAACTTGTTAGAATATATAGTTTCATGAAGGGTAGAAATTGGTTCTAAAGCAGTTAAAAGTTTTTTGTGTTGCAAATTTTAGCCTATTATCTATGGAATGTTTTAGCAAAATCCTGCTCCCAGTACTATCGTACACATCTTCCCTCCGTGTGATTTCGCTTCTATATTTTTGCAAAGGAATAGTCCGGATTTGTTGGAAATATTTAGACAGCAAAAAGCTAGCTATTTATTTGTTGTCATTACATCTGCTAACTGAAATTGGATTGCGGCGAGATTTCAAATGTCGAAGAAACGATGCCATCCAAGGCTTTTGGAGAGTTGATGCGCACATCAATCGAAGAAAAAAAGAAGTTCTAAAGCTTTGATCTCAGATTGTAGTTCATTATTGATTTCAGGCAATTTTTTACCTTGATTCAATTTTGATTATGCAAAAGTTTTTGTGCTTTTTTGCGGGAAAGCTTAGGAATTAGTTTGATTACACATTTCTCTATTACAATGGCAAAATGTGCATTGGGCATATAGCAACTTGTGTGGAAACAATCTATTTTGGATGATGGAGGCTGTAAAATATTAGCTGAGCGTTTGCTGTCTTATGTGTTTTTAATTTAATTTTTTTCTGATCAGGCACTTCATGGTAAGCAGCATGTTTTCGCATTCCTGTATGATTACAGTCCTCGATTGTTGCTGTACAAAACTTCTGAAAATTATCAGGTCAATAGACTCATAAGAAATTTGATGGATCTAGTTTGAGGAATTGGTCTGCAGTTTGGCATGCACCAGATGATTTATAAAGCCTAAAATTGTTCTTTCTCTTTGCTGCGATTTTTGATCTGACTCTGGAAGTATAGTCGTTACGGTTATATGCAATTACTGTTTATATGTAAGTTTTTATCACTGCTACTTTGACTGCATCTTTTATCGATTTTATTTTGTATTATATGGCTTAAGCTGTATTTTTTTGGCAAATTTGTATCTTCATTTCGTTTTGTTATTACTTACTAATTTATCATCAATATTTAATCATTGAAATACTGAGGGCACTTGTAGTTTCTTCAAGTAGCAGTTGTAGTAGTTGTTGAGAATCATCATTTACTGAAACTGATGATAATATGGCGTGTTCCATTGATTTTCGGCTTATCAGTGCTCATGTTTCTGAATGTTAAAACATTTATGTCAGTCCTACATAGTGGGGCTCCTTTCTAACTCTTGAGTGGATGGTGAATATTAACAGCGTGCTAGTTTCACAAGCCTTGGAGTGGCGAGCTTGAGAAGTCTAATTTCTGTTTATTCCCATTAAAATCAATCTTGGATCATACAGCATAAGAAGTATTATAGTAAAACACTTTATGATGAAATCTGGACGTTTTGTTTCCTTGCACTTTTATCTTATTAAAAGCGAGGAATGTCTTTATGGTTTCGTAATAAAAGATTACAAATGTCATGTCGCGGCATTTCAGTGCAATATGTTAGTAGTAGTAGTGGTACTTATAGTAGTAATAGTGATAGTAGTAGTGGTACTTATAGTAGTAATAGTGATAGTAGTAGTAGTAGTAGTAGTAGTAGTAGTAGTAGTAGTAGTAGTAGTGGTAGTGGTAGTGGTAGTGGTAGTGGTAGTGGTAGTGGTAGTGGTGGCTTAACTGGAATTAAATTTCAGTTAGTCTGTGGGTATGTCAAAAATCAAAAATATCACTCTAGCCTTATTTTATTTTTTATACGATGTGTAGAAATTTGAGCAGTGAAAAAAATTGGGAGATTTGAGTAGTAGATAAAGTTACGCTATTTTCGTACAGAGAGCGCCCTCAGATGTTTGTTTTCCTCAGCATAGGAAATAGATTAGTAGAATGTTATTTTAAGATGTTTTGTTCATTTCATGGCTGGTTTGTATCCGATGTTTCATTTGTAATATTTCTCCTAGTTCCTCTCGCATGTGATTTTGTCTTTATGGATTCTTTCAATAAATGTATTATTCTTTAAATGCTCCACATTTTAAATGTCTGCATGTTCCCCATGTATGTATTTATGTATTTCTTAGCGCGTATGGATTTTTTCAGTCAGTTTGTGTACAAAATGTTGAGATATCTTTCAGTTAAAATGTGCGACATGATTGTTTGCCCAGGCAAATTAAATGTTCGATGGATGCTGTATTCCTCACATCGACTCCTATTGTGCTACCTTTGTTGTTAATGAGAGAGCTTTGTCTTATTATTTGTTCCATCCGCACCTTAGAAATTCCATACTTTGTTAGCATATTGTAAAGGTGAATATATATACGTATATATATA